AAACACTGTCATCTTTTCATTAAGTATCTTAGTGGTTCACAACAAATTATTATTTTTTGCTTCAACTAGGCATATTTCTGAGAAGTTCAGAAAATAAAAATCAAATACACTTTTAGTGTATTGCCTTAGTGTTAGGTACCAGGTTCCCTCCTCCCTTAGCCTTCCTTCAGTGACTCAGTGCCAGCAGCCACATCATCACCAGCTGCTCAATGAGACCCGTGTCCCCTTTAAAAAGTCTGCACCATGGTGAGCTGCTCTCTCTCTCTTTTCTCTTGCTCCCACTCAGAGGCATTCCTCCCCAAAGGCCCAACTAATCTTTTTTTTTTCTTTTAGAAGCACTCTTGCTTTACATATAAATCCCCCATCCCCTCACCTTCCCATCCTCCCATGCCTCCCCAACACCCCCCAACCCATCCCCACCCACTCCCCAAGGATAGTGAGGCCCTCCACGGGGGACCATCAAAGTCCTTTACATCATTCCAGGGAGGGCCTAGACCCTCTTCCATGTATCTGGACTGCAATAGTATCCTTTCATAGGAATGGGCTCCCAATGTCCATTTGTGCACTAGGGATAAACACTGGCTCCACTGTTAGAGGTCACATAGACTGCCCAGGCTTCCTAGCTGGCACTCACATTCAGAGGGCTTGGTTTGGTCCAATGCTGGTTCCCCAGCTTAGGGTCTCTGAGCGCTCACTAGGTCAGGTCAACTGTTTCTCTGGGTTTCTCCAGCACAGTCTTGGCTCCTTTGTTCATCCCTCGTCCCTCTCCACAACTGGATTCCAGGAGTATGGCTCTGTGTTTAGCTGTGGGTGCCTGCTTCTGCTTTGGTCAGCTACTGGATGAAGGCTATAGGAATGGCAACCAAGGTAGTCATCAATTTCATTATAAGGGAAGCTGCCCAATCAATCTTGTGTGAGATCTGTGGCATGGTGTGATTTCCATGGCATTGTTTGGCCCCACCTGCCAAAGCACTCTCCTTCTGCTAAGCCCCAATGCTAAGCTGATGAGGAATTAAGGCAGGCTGTACTGGATAATAGCCCCTGGCCATAAAGAAATGCTTGGCCCCATCATGACCATTCCATTCCACCTGCAGAAAAATAAGCATGGGTACTAAAAATAACCTACTCTGCTCCAGTCAAACCACAAAAAATATGTGTAACTTGTTGGTAGCTATGTATGTATGTATGTATGTATGTATGTATGTATGTATGTATGCATGCATACATGCATGCATGCTTGGACCCCAGCCCTTCTAGGTGCACTCAGCCTTCATCCCTCAAAAAGGTTGAGGCCCCTCACTGTTCCAATAAAACAGTCTCAGCCTGTTGAGATTGTCTGTCTGTCTCTGTGCCTCACTTTTCCTATATCACTTCTAAGAAACTTTCTCACATATTCTCAGTCTCTGTTATTAGAAACAACAGGAAAAGTGTACAAAAATCTTCAGTGCAGAGTAGAAAGCTTGTAAACTTTGTTAGAAGATTTCTAGTCGAAGAACCAAGGCATAGTGAACATTTCATAGAGGTTTCCTTATTCATGAGAATACACCCCCTCCTATAGTGAAAGCTTGTAGATTTAAGATATCTTTATTCACATAAATACCAGCCAAACACAAGCCAGAGCGTGCCCAGGGCAGCAAGGCAGTGAGGGAAGAGAGAAGGGGCTTCCCATGTGCTCGAAGCCCCTTAAGAGCCTATCCTGCATCATCCTGGCCTCACCTTGACCACGCCTTGACAGGTCAGGCACACCTGTAGCCAGCCTCTAACAGGCGTGGCTTACTGTCCCCTACACCCTCCCATCTGTTCATCCTCCTACCTGTGAACCCACTGGAAGGACTGTAAAGTAGCAACTCAGAAACCTCAGCCAAATTAGAAAAAAGGTTTTAAATCTGGTTTCTGAGTTGGCAGAGAACCAGCCATCAGTGGGGGAATTTCTGTAATAGATTTCCACAGAGTATTGTTTAACTAATCATGTTTAAGGACAAACCACCTGCTTTGGCATGAAAAAAGACATTTCTGGAAGAAACATGCATTTGTTCGTAGTCTACTAGTCCTTAGCCTAATATTTTATGTCATCTTTGTGATAAGTAAGGCGCATATCCATTATCTCAGTGTATCCAATACTTCTCTATTGCTGTGATAAAACACCATAGCCAAGGTAACTTACAGAAGGAAGAGTTTATTTGGTTCTTATAGTTCAGAGTGTCAGAGTCCATGATGGCAGAGTGGAGGTACCAGGCAGTAGAAACAGTAGCTGAAAATTCACATCTTGAATCACACACAGGAGGCAGAGAGCAGACTGGGGATGTTGCATGGCTTTTCGTGACAGGACAAGACAGTGCAGAGCTTCCCCCATCTTGCATTCTTGCCAAAGATATTCCAGGTTTAATTAGAATCTGATCTGAACTGAGAATCCTCTGGAAAATTAACCAGCTCTATCCTAGGACCCAAGATCAAGATGCCTCAGCTGACTTATCATAGCTTTTGTTAAATTTCCTGCTTCTGTAAACTTCAACCTCCAGCTAACTGCTTATTCAAGCTTCTGATAAACTGCTTGCTTCTGAAGAACACCCCCACCACCACCCTGTACAGCTTCTGAGCAAGATTCCAGGATGTGGTTTCTGCTTTCAAAAATCCTGTACTCTATACACTTAGTGCTATACTTAGGACCCAGTCCATTGCTGGCTGGAACAAAGACTTTCAATTGGCTATAAACTGTGTCTGAATGATCATCTTTGGTGGGCTCCCCATAATATTTTGAAATCTCAAAGCCTGCCCCAGAGACATCCTTCCTAGATAACACCAACTAGGGATCAAGCATTCAAATACTTGAAACTATTGGGGAACATTTTGTTCAAGCCACCACACTCAGATAATCTGTTCTTCAAGAGGAACAATTTCAAAATCATGTCAGATTTCTCATCACATTTTAAAGGCTAACTTCCTTGTTGGAGGGAGCTATTGTTATTAATACATGGAGGCCTTTCTCCTTCCTCCACCTTGCAACTGTATTAGTGTTCTACTGCTATGATAAATGCTATGACCAAAAGCAATTCACAGGTGGAAAATGCTTATTTCAGCTCACAATTTAAAAGTCATACATAGTCCATCCTTGAGGGAAGTCATGGAGGGATAGGAACATGGAGGCAGGAACTGATTCAGAGACCATGGAAGAGTTCTGCTTACTGACTTTCTCCCCATGGCTTACTCAACTTGATTTCTTATACAACCACTTGTAGAGGAATGGAACCACTGGTGGTGAGCTGAACCCTCCCACATCAAAATGCCCCAAAGATTTGCTGACATGCCAGTATGACAGAAGCATTTTCTTACCTCTTCTCAAGTAACCCTGGCCTGCATCAAGTTGATAAAAAACTAACCAGCACAGTGACTTAGCCACATTTATTGAAGGGCCATTCACAACACTATTTCCCGAGATTGGGAAAATACCAGAAATTGAAGGAGCAAAGCCTGCAATATCATATATATGACATATTTTGTGACTCTCTGTCCCTTAGTCCAATATTTGTGCTTAAATTCTTCCCATTGAAAAGTGTAGTTTTCCTTTGTGAGAGCTGAATCAAGATGATCTACCCAGCTGGTTGCTGTTGTTACTAATTTTAAAAGTAGAAGGAGGAAGAACCTTATGATTATTTGCTTAACAGACTAAATAATGCCAGTTAGTTCCCTGGTTTCAAACAAGCTAATCCTGTTGTTCAATAAGCATTACTTAAAAGAACTTATTTAAACTTTACTCCAGCTTCCTTAGAGGAACTCGGCAGTGTCCAGAGAACAGGCAATGCAATTATGTACTTCACTTTTTTACTATATTTGCTTTCTGTGACAAGATGCCAATTTTGATATTGGACACACTTGGAACTTAATTCATTGACTTGCTATTTAGTGTGTTAGAATATCCTGGAGATGCAGGATCAAAGATGAGGGCATTCTTTGGGTATATGCTCAGGAGAAGAATTGCTGGATCTTGAAGTAGACTGATTCCCATTTTCCTGAGAAACCACCATACTGATTTCCAATCTGGGCAATGGTGGAGAGGCTACCCTAAATGCCCTTCCCCTATAATGAGACTGATGACTGCCTTATATGCCATCCTAGAGCCCTCATCCAGTGGCTGATGGAAGCAGAGGCAGACACCCACACTTATACACTGAACTGAACTCTGGAGCTCAGTTGCAGAGAAGGAGGAATGAAGAACAAAGGGGTCAGGACCAGGCTGGTGAAACCCACAGAAACAGCTGACCTGAACAAGGGGGAGCACATGGACCCCAGACTGCTGTCTTAGAGGCCAGCATGGGACTGATCCAGACCCCTCAACGTGAATGTCAATGAGGAGGCCTCGGGCACTCTATGGGGCCCCTGTAGTGGATCAGTATTTGAGACTGAGTTGTAGGCCAGTGAGACCCTGTATCAAAAACACAAACAAGTAAATAAATAAACAAATTTTATTGATTGAGTATCAGGGACTTTGAGAGCCCATCCCACATGGAGGGATGCTCTCTCAGCCTGGACACATGGTGGAGGTTCTAGGCCCTGCCCAGGATGATATGACCAACTTTGGGGAACCCCATGGAGGGCTTACCCTCCCTGGGGAGCAGAGGGGGGATGAGGTGGGGGACTGGTGGGGGTTGGGAGAAGGGGAGGGAGAGGGAGAATGGATTGACATGTGAAGCAACCTTGTTCTAATTTGAAGTAATAAAATAATAATAGTAATAATAATAATAATAATAATAATAATAATAATAATAATAATGATGAGAGCGGCTGGGGGGGGCGGGG